CAGCCTAAAAGGTGGTCGTGGAGAAAACTGAGGCAACGATGACAAGCACAAGGCAATTGATTTACAGGTTGGCAACTTGCTCCATGCCTCATATGTAATATGGAATGTTTCGTTTCAATGCATGGTGTCCATACTTAGTTCAAAAAAATCAGTCTCATCTCATCTAACAGTGGAGGCTTCCCCTGCTGAGAAATGGAATAACCAAAAATTTGTCACCATGCTTAATCCCATATGTAAGTTACCTGTTGCTCAGGCTCTAAGGTCATCAGCATCTGAGGTAACACAACTATAGGAATTTTTCCAATTTAGTCCAAGGCATCTACAGTTCCCAATTCAATGCTTATTTGTATTATCTCCACTTTCATTATGCTTGTTTCTGCAATTCGTTTTGTTTCTACACTTCACTCATGAAGTAATGCAGGTAATTGTTCTTTCATGTCTAAGTTTGATTGCAGGAAAGGGATAGAATTTGCGTCCTCGTCACAATATTCAAGCCCTTTTATGCTCCCCAACAATTTAACTGTATCTTATCTGCTGCTAGGATCATTTTCTGTGCATACGTCATTGAAAAAGTCTTTTCTCGTCACAATATACAGCATGTTGTTACATTTAGGTCTGCAAGAGTGTTGATATATTTTGTACAACTTCCTCTAGAGTCAATTTGGCTGAGTACATTACCCTAGGTACCATTAGGTTGTGATAAAAAAGTGATATGCTTCTTCTGATTGCTTTTCATGTGGTGCTAGCAAATTAAATTTAAACAAATCGGTCTTCGTCTATTGCAGGAGTGCACGTGTGATGATTAATGCTAGAATGATTTCTTGTGATCCTACCCTGTACTCCTGGAGGCAATGGTCCTTACATTAATTTGTGATGTTTCATGAGTTAATTCTCTCCTGTCTCCTACTGCAATAGACCTTTCTCCAATTATAAAAACGATGATAGGCTTCAAATCATGTATCTGTTTACTTTATGGAAACGGAATAACGGAAGCCTATGGAACTTATCAATTTGGACATGCTCATGCGCAGTTGGTCCAGAATTCAGTTTGATTAGTAGCAGCTCCTTTTTATTTTTCCTCTGTATGTTCAGTTTGTTCCTTGGATTAGGATATAGAGCATTGATGAGATTTTATATGGGTATCTTTGCTTCTTCAGGCAGCGCTCTGTATCATTTGTACATCTTCTGGCAGATTTCAGATAAAGGTACCAATTCTCAATTTACCATTCTTTCGGTTTTGTCAGCACCATACCTTTATGTAGCAGTAATATTTTAAAAAAAAGTTTACCATCAAAGAATTCTAGAATGCTTTCCTTTCATATGACAGTGTTTACATCCAACACTGGATGACTTTGTACATTGTCTAAGATTGGATTTATTTAGAAGCTATTTAAGTCTCAACCTTCCTTTTCTATGTGCTCTAGATGTGTACCTACCTGACAATGTCCATTATAACTTTTTCTACGTGCTCTCAATATTATGCATTTAACTGGAGTTTTACTGCTTCCATGATTTATACATTCAGCTTTCAGGGTAACCTGCAAATTTTGTCATCGTCTAGTATATTCATATGCATTTTAATCCTGCTGATTTCTGAGGAATGTAGAAAATAGTAGACCAAAGACCATTGATCTAAACACAGCCAACACTTTACAAATTTTTATTATGCATTGTATTAACATTTTTTCCCAACCTGTGTTACTGGTTTCTTTTATTGCCCTGTATGTTTTGGTTAGATGAAATCTGTATGCCACACCATGATAATCAAGTTTCCTCTGCCTGTGGATTAGTGATCATGTTAAAAAGGTACATTTCCAGCAATCTTTCTCCGTTCAAACTTTTTTAAACAATAGAAAACATAGTGGTTCTTTCTTATCCGATATATCTGCCTCACGACAGAGACAACGGTATTTGTTATGCTTAAATTTGATTCTTACACAGCCATATGAAAGTATTAACACTTTGACACCTTATGGTTTTCTATTTTTTCCCTGTTGTACATGTTAGTGTTATGCCACAAACACAGCTGGACTCCTAACCAGTGTTCAGATACCATATTTTCAATTAGATAGCAAAGAAAAGGGGAAAAGAAAATTGAATGTGCAGCAATTTGATAGGTTAAGAGCTTCATCATGTTTTATTTGTCCTCGATGAGCTGAACAAGTTATGTCCGGAACAAGAAAATACTATTGTTCAAATTTGCAGCCCCTCTCATGGAGCACTAGGTTTGTTGAAATTACCTATGTCATAGCTTCACACAACCTGGTTTGTTATCATTTATGCGATCGGATGTTATGCTTGTGGGTTTAGTGAATGTCTGGTTCCTGTCCATTGCAGGGTCTGCTCTGTCATGTTATTGCTTTCATACCTTCTGCATCTGTTACTTATACGTCTGCTCGTGCCTTCTGATCAGATTGGTCCCAATAAGTTCAGAGAATCGGGTCTGTGAATCTCAGTTGCCACTCTTGTTGCATGTTCTTCGTGTTCCATTAGTAACATCATGTACGACCTCAACTGATGGTAGTGATTCATGAATCAAAATGACTGATTTCCTTCTTTCTTCTTGTTTTTACTTTGTCTTATACCAAGTGTTGGCCTTCTAATGATCCGGTCCGTTGGCCTTGCATCATTACAAGGTATGCATCCTTTCTTTTTTGCTGTTCTTCATCGTTTGTTCTTGAATGTGCTGCTAGATCATGGTTGTTCCTAATCCTAGGAATCGACGTTTGTTCGTGCTGTGCTTCCTTCGGGCCGTGACGCGCCGATCTCTGTACCGGGCACTATACAGTGTGCTGACGACTCCTAATCAGGTTCGTTCAGTTATTCTACACTGTGTTCCTCAGTCACACTTCTTGCCTCCATGTTACACTATACATCTGCAAGTGATAAGTTCCTCTGCAAGTATGGCTAATGCTATTGTTTGTTTTTTGTTTTAATTTCTCTTTTGTACCAGACAAGATAATTTTCCGAATGGAAGAACAAAATATTTTCCAATGTTTACTAAACAAACTTTTTTTCACAAAGGAACCCAAAGAAAAAAGGAAATTATTTTTTCCCCTCAAATTAGTTTTCTGATTTATTGGAATCAAATTGACAGCGCAATTCTTTGAGGCAAAATACCTTTTCCAGTTTGCTGACAGCATCTACTTGCGACGTTCACTATCCGAGTCTCGTGTCGTTCTATCTTGCATGTAGTTGCCCAACACTGTGGCCTCCCATATATATCCGATATACATCAAATTCTTGATGACGGGTCCCATATATATGGCATCGACCTCGAGTTGCCTACATTATTCTGTCATGGCAGGCCACAAAAACATTTTTTCTGGTCAAATTCTGCCATGGAATCTTCGGCTGCTTATGAAATGTCTGCCTTACAGGCACTTACATGCTTGCAGACTATACATGGTTTCATTATTGTTGACTACAGTTTACATGATCTGGTGTTGTATAGGGCCTTAAGTCAGCGTCTTCTCCCGATTGCAAATAGAGGTGTCCAGCTAGCTACGCTTATTCTCACGGCTCCCCAACATGAATCACAGCATCATTCAGAGTTTCCCATGAAGTGAATAATATAGGGAATTGTTTTTGAGTCCTTTTTGATTATATAGCATATTAACGCTCATTTTTTTCTCCCCTCCACGTGTATCTGCCTTTAGATGGTTGTCCTTTTTGTACTGCATAGTTTAAAAAAAAGAGTTTGTTTTGAAAATTCATGTTCACGGTTGCAATTTCTCTGGTCCCTGCCTCTTCTACAGCAAAAAGGAAAAAAATGTTAGGGCAGTTCCGTTTAGCTTGGACAGGTATCCACGCCAAAATTGTAGCAACTTCTATGTCTCTTGGACCTTCCTCTCTGCCTGTTTAGTTGGTGCACATTTTCCCTTTAATTTTACTGTAAAGCCTATCTTTCTTCTCATTGGTACGGCCACAAAGCAGGGGACTTCTCGGTCGCAAATATTGGCCTACGATGTGGTCAATTTGATGAAGCCTTTGTACAAGCCCTGTGAGGTTCGTGCTTCATGCTGTTCAAATCCATGTGTTCCTCTTTGGCTGTATCGACGCATTTCCAGGAAATAATCATCTTTTCCCCTTTCCATGGCGCTATCACAGTGTCCTATCCAGGAAGCTCCCACTATGGCTCGCCGGACTACGAGTGCCCCCATTGCCATGCTGTTTTTTTTTGGTTGAATGGTAAAATGACAGCAAGGTAGTTGAATGAGTCTCAAAAAATGACAGCATCAGCATCGCATCTCACCAGTTCCACGATGTCTACACAAACAGCTACATGAAGATAGCGCCTGAAGACAACATCAGCATTGCCATCTCAACATGTAAAAATGTCTGAAGACTTAAAATTTTCATAAAAGATCAAGAATCGTAAAATGCAAAAGAGTTCGTTTACCATCAAAACACCAGTACTGCTACCTCCATATGGTTCCTTAATGTATGCAGCCATCGAGCAACCATCTAGCTGTACAATTGTAGAAATGATGAACTTGGTCTGCAAAATATAACTGCATGCTACACTGTGAACTCTCACCTCCACCTTTCGCATGTAACATATGGATGTTGTAACTGCAGGTTTAATATATCCGGCAAGGCGACGTTGCGGGATCGCTGATGAGTTCCCGCAGATATGTATGGATATAAACCCTATCTTTATAAATCTGAAATTATCTGCTTACCGGCGCGCGGCCTTCACTGCCGGAAGTTGTTGCTATACATCAGCACGATCGGCATCACGGCGTGCCTTGCCGTGCTGGGGGCGCCGCGCGCGGTGCACTGCCGAGCGGCATCGCCATCATCAGGCTCACCTTGTGCGGTTTCGTGGCCTTCTTCTCGGTGGGGATCGGCCCGATCAAAATGGTGCGCGGGACGCTACGCTGCTGATGGCAACCCGTCTGCCTCCGGACAATCAGAAGTCGCCACAGTGCTCACGGTCGTCCTGTCCGTTCTGCACAGCTGCGTTTCGCGTTATTTCATGTGACGGAATGCTACTTTCATGTAACAGATCTATCTTTCCAGAGAATTAGAGGCGTCACCGTCTGCCTCCGGACAATCAGAAGGCCACCGTGCTCCCTGTCCTCAAGCTGCCGCTCATCATGCACATCCACCACAGAATTAGAGGCGTCAGTCAGTGACAAACAGCCAGCAGGCAGCTGCACCATGCATGCAGCTATGATTTCATTTCCTCAATCCAATTTTAATTTTGTGACATCACAACAAAATTTCATCACAGATTTTGATAGATCCTCCCAAATTTTAACACTGAAAGCATCAGCTTCATAATTAAACAGCTGAGTGTATATATATACACACACAAGTGTAACACAGGAGATTCACAGCGAGCCAAACTAGTCCTCCGGTCCTATCAGCCGCCCCGTATGTACACACCAAAACACTTTCTTCTGCCCTACAAACTAGCACGTCCTATGCAAGTTATGTTGCCTAGCAGTTAGCTGAGCTACCAAAAGTTAAAACCAAAAGGCCAGCTAGATGCTCCGCTCTGTGACGTGCTACCTAATTAATTAATTAACTCTGAAGACCTGCAGCTTCTCCTCACTTAAGCAACCAAGGTACCTCCCTCCACCTGGACTTTCAGTTTCAGCATACCTTAAATCAAGGATCGGCTCCCGGTGAGTGCAGAGATCGGCATGCATCCCAAACGAAGGCAGTTGCCAGGTCCGGACCCCACGCAGTGACTCGTCACCATAGGCGAAGAGATGCTGGTTGTCTCCATAAGGTATGATTGCCGATTTCGACATGCGTAACTCGCTCACGCTGGCATGCCATGTCGGGCCTTCAGTGAAGCACATGTTACCCGTCCTCCTGATAAGGGTGTGGTGCCCTAATTTCCCCGAGCCAGACCGTGTAGGCGTTTGTGATAGATAAACTTGGGACGCGGAAGCCACGTCTCCTGATGGATTAATTTTGGGCCGGAAGGAAGCCACCAAGGGGTCACTTGATGGAGCCGCACATGCAAGAGAAATGCATACACGCTGATCTCCCATCCCAGTAAGCAAATATGGCCTGACACAGAAGTACAGAACAAACATCAGAACCACAAACACCTGTACTCAGAATCTCAACAAATTTTCATGGATCTGAAAAAACAAAAATGCAGTTCCAGAAAAAAAAAACTGTCATTAAGAACTGCATAATACTGTGTTGTCAAACTTTACTTCATCAAATACCTGCTTTGATTGTTATCGGCGTCCCACATGCAAGGACCTACAGCAGAGGCTGAAAGAACCTTCCTGGAACCATTGTTATCAATGACAGAGTGGAGGGCATGAACCGGATTCGTAGATAGCCCCACCATAGAATGCAAGGGTCTTGCAGTTTGACGGATATCAAATACCAAAACCATGCCGTTCTGCATAGATCAACAAACTAATTCATATAACACATAGCAAGCAAATCAATAAAGCTTCAGATGAGATAATGAAGGATAAACCTGCAATCCAGCATAAATATGATGTGAACCAGGTGGACCTACTCCACATGACCAACCAGGAGCCTGCACAGTATTATTGTAGAGATATCAAAAAAATTAGGTACAATATCTGTATATGTTGTCACCTAACTTTCCTATTCAAAGTTTCATCCAGTGAGGTTCACCAAGGTGGAAAAAAAGTCAAATATCTGGAAAAAAACTATTGTAGATCTTTAATTTTAAAGCAAAGCAAAGATGGTAGGGGAGGTCCCAACGAACGTACTCCCATATGTTTATTCTGTTGTAGATTTTACAGGTCACATGAGTCAAATTTTTGAGGTGGTATGCTTACTCATTTATTGTACAACATATTTTACAAGGGCCTTCTTGGAACAATAAAATGAGACAATAGCATTAGGTGCAAGTGTTTAGAAGCAAGTTCAGATAATTACCGGCAAATCCCAATTAAGAGCAACGTTGTCAGTTGTCATGCTGGTTCCAAAATACATGATTGGGAAGTGTTAGAAAGAACTATGGTGAAACACAGTATCAGGCAATTAGGGGAAAACAGTATAAACCACTACTTCCACAAACTCAGCACAAACCTGAGAAGTGATAGCTTCTTTCCTAGTGACGTAAAAATAGCAGAGCCACCTGGCAGGATACACATATCCCTAACAGCTTTGGTATCGGGAGGAAGATGGATTTTGCGTACTTCATGGTTGGACAGCATGTTTATCTATCGGAACAAAAAAAACAATAGAGTGAATAATGTAAATCTAAAGGTGATAAGAATAAGCACCACAGTTCATCTGGCACTGCAGAAACTTTAAACTGTATACCTTGGTAAGAACATATTCAGCACCTATAGCAGTCGCCCTTCCAGAAACAAGTATTATTTTGTTAGATGCGTCTATGGTGATGACTCGAGCTCCATCCACAGGTAATTCATTCTGCAAAAACATTTTTGGCATTTGAAGCTATGTTATCAATTTAATTTAGGATAAAAAAAGGAATGAGTATTCACTGACAATGGGATCAGACAATTATGTCTTTTTTTTTGGTGTGTGTGTGTGTGGGGGGGGGTGTCAAACAATTAAATAATCCTAGAGGCACTGGCTCTATAAATCCCTATAGTCTGATACTTAGCTTTATTTAACTATTTGCCATAGTTGCATCAATTCAAGGTACTCGCAATTACTCTCTAATAAAGCCATGAAGTGGAACCTCACAAATAGTCAAATACACGAGTATGAGATATGACAATGTCAGAGTGAGATATTTCATGAGAAGTGTGATGGGAAAGAAATTGAATTCTTATATGGTTACCTGTAAGCTAAAATTTATTGTTGCTGGGGTAGATGGCTCCAGATTTGCGACTTCATATGAGTGCTCAGCCACTTTCTTTACAGAGGCACCAAAAGAGAATTTAAGTAAAATACCTTACAATGATTAATCACTGAAAATTTAACTGTCATTACCTGTCTCTTTGAGCTACCACCATCACTCTGCCTCTGCAAGTGCAAGGCACAGGTCACAGTTAAATGACAGCATAAAGTTCTAGTTGAAGTGACAACCAGCATCTTTGTAAAGTGAACAGAGAAACAAGCAGCCAAAGGTGGCTAGACAAACCTTGGTAATCTCCTCAAACATTTTATCATGGCGCACAACCTTCCGGCAAGAAAATACAAGATAGAAAAATTATAAATACTAGAAACACACAAAATATTTCTTTTTGTACACTCTTGTTGCTGAGAAGGAATGTACAGCTAGAAGCTAAAGGGCCACACAAATGCATTATAATGAGATTAATTACCTTCTTTTTCAGAGAACCAATTTCCTCTCTTAAATATGAAATTTCCTGAAGAGTTGAAACCAGCTTTAGTTCACAACCAATAAGATTTGCAGACAAAAAAAAAAGTAAAATAACCAATCTAACCTTCTCAAGTTCACTATTAGGAATGGCAACCTCTTGTGCATAGAGATTGATGATGTCCTTCTGTTTAAACCTTTTGGCACACTGAGGGCACTGAAATATTAGAAGAAAGGAGAAACTTCAAATCGCAGAGAATGATATCTCCCGGAGACGGAACCATGACCAAAGTAATTAGAATAGCCCTCTGGCAAACACACCTTCGCACTTCGGTTCCCATGCTGGGTGAGCCACTTCTCTAGGCAAGATCTCCCATAGACATGCCCACATGGGATACAACTGCAGAGAATGTCACAAAGTTAGGCGTTTCAGGTGGTACCATTGAGCATTCAAGACAGGATAAGATTGTCCTATATGAAACAGCAACTGAAGTTGAAGAAAGTACTCCCACTTCCCAAGTTTTAAGTCGTTTTAGACTGTCCTAACTCAAAATTCTCTAGATTTGACCAAGTTTATAGAAAAATGCACAGACATCTACAATATCAAACTGGATTCATCAGATACACCATGAAATGTATTTTGATAATACATTTACTTGATATTGTAGATGTCACTATATTTTTTCTATAAATTTGGTCAAATTTAGACGAGTTTGACTTAGGACAAAACTAAAAACGACTATCAATTTGGAATGGATGGAGTATACGAGCAACAATAGAAATTTTTATGTGCAACGCTACATTCTCTGTGAACATTCAATTCTCTTGCTAGTAGAAATTGAACAAGGAAAAACCACAGAAGGCCTAGCCATTTCTATCCATGTTCCGAGGATCAATCTTAATGAGCTACGGCTTGTCATCATTCATCTGAATTTTACTCACATCAGAAGTTAGTTCCGAGAGATATCTCCACAATGGCTACAAACAAGAAACAACAACAACAACCACAAAAGAGCGAAAGGTGCATTGGTCACCCACCTAATGCGATGCGGACCTTGGGAGGTCCACGGGTCCATACAGACGGGGCAGGTGGACGTGTTGGCCCTCTCCACCGCGGCGCCGGCGCCGGCAGCCGCCGACACCCCGGAAACCCTAGCTCGTGGGGGTGGCCCGCAATCGCCCGCGACCAACTGTACCCCCTCCTCCTCCTCGTCTTCTTCATCCTCTTCCTCTTCCTCGTCGGCGCTGGATCCTTCGCCGCCATCCCCTCCGTCCTCCTCTGCCACCGGTCCTGCCCGCATGGCCATCTCTTCGTACACCGCGTCTTGGTACGCGTCGATGTCGTAGAGATCGAATTCGTTGTAGGGAGACGGCATGACGGCGAGTTTTTCTTTTTTTCTTTTTTGGTTTGGGGGATCGGGATAGAAAAATGGAATCGGTGACAGGACAGGACACCAGGGGGGGAAGGCGAGAAGGTGCCCGAAACCGAAACCGCCACAAGGCCACAACCGATGCGCCTAGCTGCCGTGGGTCTTTTGGCCCCATTGGGCCTTGGATTGTCAAATTTCGCCGTCGAACCTTTTTTTTTTCTATGCTTGTCTGAGAGAAGACGGTAAACTTGTATTGCATCCGTCGCCAAAAGAACGCAGTTTTTTTACGAGCCTAACCAGAAATGACACTAAACGTTGCACAAGCACTGCTCGGCAAGGAAACTGAAAAGACACATCTTCTGCTAGACTTTTGAAATATCCACGGCAGAAGAAAAGCACTCAGAGCCGAGGGAGCAAGCAAAACAAGCTTAGACACGTAATCTTACTCCGTTACTGTTTGTCACGTGAGCTCCAACCAAAAAATTTGCTTAGACGGGCAACAGCTTGGTGGATCGGTTGTGCTAATTGATTAAAGTCTCTTCAAACTAGAGTCGCTTTCAGCATAAACCTAAATTATACATAAGGAGTGCACGTTGGATGATTCAGCTAACTGGACAAACGACCGGTAATTATCTAGAAGACTCTTAGAATCAAACGACTCGGCACATGCGGTGATTAGAAAGGTGAAGCATAGGAGCCGACAAAAAAAAAAACGCGCACCTTGATAAGTTTCGTCGTCATACATACATGGCATCACTTTGTTTGATCTCCTGTCGTGGATTCTCCCTAGCTACCTCTTTCTTCTTTTAAGTAAAAAAAATTAACAATCGTTGGATTTTATTTTTGTTAATAAAGTTCTCTCTTCATCAATTGCAAAAAGAGAGAGAATTGCATTACTTTTACGGAGGGGGCTTCCAGCTAGGGTGATGGCGCGCCTTTTGCTCGGGATGACCAGTGACGGGCGTGCCGCGCCGAGCTGTGGTCCTACCGTACAACTGTAGGAGTTAGTACGGCCGTGGCTGCATAGGACTGTAGGGGTGGAGCGGAGCGGCCGTCGTGGTGCCGCGGTGGAGGTGGGTGGGGCTGCACCGCATGGAGCGCGCGCCGGAGCGAGAGGTCGGGTACTCGGGTCTCTTGTTTTCGGACGCGACGAGCTGGCGACCCCCCACGCCTGCATTCACACACACTGCCCTCTGGCCGCCCCAGTCTGCCATTGCCCCCATCAGCACGCATGCAGTAGTGGGAGACCGACGCCCTCGTCGAGGCCGTCCTCAGCTGCATCAGCATCTGCAGCAGCCGCCCGACCCCCTCTTCGCGGCCGAGGGGACCACCGCCGACGCTGTGAGGCTGTTGCCGGCCTTTGGCGAGCTCGTCAAGGTGTGGAGTCACTCGACGGAGAGGCGCCCGTTCCAAGTGCTGTTCCCGTTCGCTGGGGCGAGGCCAGGCGGGAGCTCATGAAGGGAGGCTGCAGCGTTGACTACCTCGCCGGGGTGGTGTTCGTGCTTTGCGGCGCCGGCTCCCGGTCCGCGAAGATGATCACCATGGTGTGCAGCGCCTCCAGCACCCACGCTGCCGACACCGCCACGAAGTGCCGCAGCTGCCACCGCCCGAACTCCCCCGCGTACGACGACAGCACCTCGTCGATGCACACGCGCCGCCCCTTGCTGCTCTGCTTCTTCACGGCCCCGCCATCATTGCCGGCTGAGAGGAGCGGCTCCGTCGTCGACATGTCTGCTGCTAGCAATGTCGCTTTGCCGCCGCGTGAGTTCTGGGCGCCGAGTGCGTCGCGCCCCTTGCTGCTCTGCTTCTTCACGGCCCCGCCATCATTCCCGCCCGAGAAGAGCCGGTGTTCGTGCCCGCCAAAAGCTCGATGGAATGCCCCAACGAAAGAGTGCAGGGTAACTCTACCTTCTGTTGGTGCAAGGTGATCGTAACTCGTAGTCCAGGCAAACAAACAAACACAATCTGGTGCGAGACTGGCTCTGTTAGGAAGTAGAGCCAAACAAGTGTTGCACCTACTGGGCCTGCTCCATGGTGGCCTGGCTCTCCTGGTCATGCAGGCTAGGAACGTTCAGGCAACCAAACAACCTAGTAGACTAGCAGGAGTAACTTTTTTTTCGGAGACGCATACGACAAGACCATAAGATTTTCCACCGCGCGTGGTCGTGGCCTATGGGCTACGGCGGCGGCCGGTCTCGGTCTGGCCGGCCTGGGACGCAGGCAGAGGCAGTGTAACGTTGCCGCGGCCGGCCGCGCACCCCCTTCTCCCGGGAGCGCGAGGCGGCGGAGCAGCCTTGGGCGCGCCCCGCGGGCCGTCTCGCTCTACGGCCTGGCACGTGAAGCGGGTGGGTGCCCCGTGCCCCCGTCCAAGCCAAGCCATGAAGCCAAGCCACATGCACTTGCGCGGTTGCGGCAGAGCGCGTCGATGGGCACTCGCGGCATCCTAACACATGCATTGCCATCCATGGATTGGAGCGTCGTGAAGCCAGATAGACGACGTCTATGATGGAACTAGCTCGATGCTGCAATGTCCCATTTGTTGTCTGGATTCAGCAACAAGTGGTACGGTTGAGTTGAAGAGTCATGCGATGGCGGCGGGGAAGTCGGTTGATGTTTTTTCTCTCCTCCCATGCATCAAACAAGCATGATCCGCCACAAACAAAACTACCAATGTCTACTGGAGCCACTATAGCCTCATTCGCTTGAACTTATCAGCCCGACTTATCAGACATGGCCATGGTACAGTATTTTTCTCTCACAACAAAATAACATCAACCGGCTTATCAGCCACATAGACCATCAGTCGAACGGCTCGAAGCTACTGATATACGCTAGCTTGTGATCCATGCGACTCTACGGAAAATACTACCAACGATTATATATATATATATATATATATATATATATATATATATATATATATATATATATATATATATATATATATATATATATATATGTGTGTGTGTGTGTGTGTGTGTGACCACACGTCTGAGCTTTTTAAAGAACAAACAATGTATGTTGCGCAGCTCGGGAGCTTCTCTCACATACGTATGCATTGGCGAACTGATAGACCAATTGCATGTAAGATGTCAAAGCCACACACTTTTCGTGATTTCGCCGTAATCGGAGCTGCGGTGCCGCTGTGTATGGATATGATAGGGGTTCGGAGGTTTTCTCGATCCGCGTGAGAAGATCTTCTTCTTAAGCCGGAATACTTAG